AACTTGGAAAAGAGAAGAATTTACAAGTTTGGAGAAATATGTTTCAACTTGGAGGGTATAACTTTGGAGGGTAAATGACTTTAGAAATTTCATTAATATATAAAATGTAACGTATTTATAATAACGCAGATTATTGATGTTAAATATGATTTTACCGTATCAGTCTGATGTTTCAAGTTGATAGTAAGGCGTTACACTATTGACATATTAAATTGAGATGTGAGTTAGAAACTAAAACGTCCCTTCGTATGTAATTGGCTACAAACGGTGTATGAAACAGAAAATCAATAAGTGACCCTCGTTGTATGCTTCGCCGCCCGGGCGATTGCTTATCTGAACATTTACGAAACTACTTATTATATTTATTTTAAAGTATTTTATAAACTCTTCGATTATTATATTTGTAATCATTAGCTTCCCGTGTTCTCATTATTTTATATCTGATAAAATTATCATTTTTGTTATGTAAACAATTGTAATTACATATTTATTACCATAGATGACACTATGCCTTTTTTAACGACTTACTAGTGGTATAATATGAAACATGAATTTGTTAAGTATTTTACTTTTTATTTAAATTCCCTAATGTCGCTACCTAGTAGGGACACCCTTGAAAGAATTGTAACTTGATATTGATACATTTCCCCTTCATGCTATCAATTAACTTCTAAGTCTTGAATGATATGATCATTTCAGGTGTCTTTTACGAGCTATTTTAAGTTATGAATACGTTAACAATTTATAAGAAGTATTATTAGGTAACGCTAACAAATGAGGTTAACCGGCGAGTCGCTTGGAGAACGTAATAGAATTTCTAATCTAATTGTCACCCGGTCTTGTTACGTTAAATTCTCGCTCCATAAACGAAACGCTGTTATATGAAATGGGTCATATATTTAGTTAAATGTATGCAATAGAATAGAACGAAAATTATAAATACTCTGGCTGTATTTTCTATTTGAGAAAACTGAAGTCATACATCACGCATGGAAGTTTATATAAGCGTGAAGACTGAAGAGTAAATGTCGTTTCCACTTTATTTGCGTCACAGCTCCTGTCAATTGGAATTGCTCGCTCGTTCCTACCTATACGGCATAAAAATCCGCTTCACGAAGCACATGTGCAATGTTCCCTCGACCTTAACAATGTTACCAAGATAATTACATTGGAGTTTCAATTGCAGGGCAATTCAATTGCAATTCAAAATTGCTTATGATTTTTATATACTTTATCGATTTAAACATTTGAATGCCAAGGAGACTCGATTGCTACACTGTAGAAAAGGTCTAGTTTTTCAAAGTATTTCCAAGAAACTTTAAAAACACATTTTTTTGAGTCGATTTTGACTGTGGATATTTTGTCTGAAATAATCATAAAGTCGCAAAAAAAACTTGTGAACATGTGTGAGTATGAAACAAAAAAATTATAAAAAAAGATTAGTATGGGGCAAAATAGGCGTTTAATAATTTTTTATCAATTATGCTTACTAAAGCGTTAATAATAATTATGTAAAATAAACCAGACAAATGGAGTTCTTTAATAGAAAATCTTTTAATCGTTCTGTTCTTGTGAATTTATAGATATATGTTTATAATTTATAATATGCAAGATAAAGGATGGCATAGTGTGATTATTTTTTTATTTTGAACGATCGTTAAAATAAAAATAAATTTTAAGATTAATTTAGTAGCGGTATATTAATGCCATGGTAAGGTTTTTTTGGAAAAATGCTTTTATTAAAACGGAGCAATTTATTCACTTCTCTATGACTCAAAGCCTAAATTACTTTTACCGTAATGAAATAATTGGATAGTAGTATCGCCTACGCGATCTATATAGAAATAGGATTTAAACACTTAGACTCTCGGAATGTGTCGATACTATCCAGCAAGTTTAATTTCCAATATTTCATTATAATGTTCAAATAGAAATTAAATTTTGAGATTGTGGTTTCCCGCATGAATTGAATTTTGAAATTTGTATTGCTACTTTCTGAAGCCACCTCCTTTGGAACGTATATATCGTTCGAATTTGTTCCTATTTCATTTCGTCCTTCCTATAAAATCCAAGAATATGAATTGAATTCAGATGCAGTAAATAAATGAGGGTGAACAATATAACATCGTTAAATAACAAAAATTTTATATGTTGTCAATATTTTTGTTCACTTTATAAAAAGTAAACGCGTTTCTATTGTTTCCGATGTGTGGATGTATTGACAATATACGTCCGTCGGGAGTATTATGCGGTCAACTAGATTGTGTTAGAAATACAATTTTTCATGAAGCGATACCCAAAGCCTGAAATTTTATAATATTATTATTGATATATAAAATGTTGGCTGAATTGCGTTTCCGTTAACTTGTCGTGTGTAAAAATACAAAATAAATGTGAAAGAGATATTTCCGTCACTCTAGGTAGAACTAGAAACTTGGCATTTAGCGTCTAGCGATTGTTTATTACCTATGAATAAGCCTTGTATGTTATTAGTCCAATTAACTCATTGCACTCTGGTATTCTTATTTTTCAGATTGTTTGTTAATTATTTAAATGGAGATCAATATGAAAAAATGAAAATCCTGAATTTGTTATAATTATATTCAAATCAAGTTAAATAAATCATGATAAAAAAAAAAAATTAAAAAAATGTGATCATTTATTTCAGATTGTCACGAGAAATATCATTGGTTTTAAACTTTATTAGTGGTTGAATATGGCGTATGTTTTAAATTTCTGTCCTATTATTTCTAAGATCTTGGAATAAAATGTACTCTCGTATTCATACAAAATCATTTTGACAAAATTGGAGTCCTGGAAAATCTTATTTAAAATAAAGAAACAAAATTATTTACAGAGATGAACATTTTACAAAGATGCATTTGATACAAGTCTTAGTATCTTTAAGTAGGTTTTTCCGCCGCTTTGTTATTTATTTAAATACAGTTCCATTCAATGTTTTTCATGGCCTTCCTCCAATTAAAATGTGCACAGTTTATTCCGCCACCGGCACTTAGAATGGAGAACATGATATAATATTTTTTATTAAATCATGGTCATTTATTTCCATTTGAAAATGTTCAGACTTTAAATAACTTTACAATCATTTTATTAACATTTGCAAGAAAATTCAAATAAGACTAAAATAAACTAGATAGAACTTTAATCTGGCTTTTTGGTATGTATGTTTTTTCTTTTCCTAACTAATAGCTGCGATTTGACTAGGAAAGTGAGTACGGATAATTTATGATTTTCTATGAAAAGTTATGAGTTTGAAGTCATTTTACGAATATTAGAATTTTATGATAATAAACTATTGTAAGATGTCAATCTTATTCTTGATTATGAAAATAGTTAAGTAATAAGTATCTATATAAAATGTTATTAAAAGAAAGAAATGAAAAGCATTAAAAGCGTCTGTAAATATGCAAAAAAAAGAGGAAAGCTTACATGAGTGAATTAGGAAGCAAGAAACATATACTCATACATATTTTCATTAATAATACAAGGTATAAAGATATGAAAGTTTATTTGTTTGTTATACAGTTACCCAAAAACTAGTAGCTTAAATATTTGTATCAGCATTTCTGGAGCAACATATGTATATACTTATGTCTTGATATTCCTGTGGGACTAGAAGCGAAGGGTAACAGCCACAAAATTTATATCTCCAAGATATCTTCTTGATCTCGGGACAGATATCGTTCGCCGTTTTACTTAAGCTAAATCTCTTGAACTTTAAGTACGATGAATAAAAAACGAAAAACCATTCTGAAACCATATATATCTGATACAAACATTCTATTTTCTACACGACAGTTCTATTTTCGTGAGACTGTTTCTTGTTTAATAAATATTATTCCGTTTAATATGTTGTGTAACTTTCATAGCATGTATATAAAAAAAGAATTTTCTTCTAACTAAAAGAATAGAATATTATGGCACAGTTCCGTGCAGGTATATAGATTTATTTCTATGAAATTCTTGCTCTCAAGCACCGTCGACATATTTTCCAAATGTTGCAATATCACGAGAATCTCTGTTTCGTTTTATTTATTTCATATCAATACGGAACTTCAATTTTTATTATTGTTTTCAATAGATACAAATGGAATCAACGTTAATAAAATATTCTGAACATTTATGATAAAATATATATTGACTAGTCTCTTGACATATCTTCTCTCATTGTTCAAGTCCAATGGAATAATCAAAATTAACATTATTGGCAAAACTAAAAGTAACAGATAAAAAGTATGTACTTTCATTTCATTCTTTATCCTACTCTCATTATTACTATTTCAATGAAATCTTTCTATTATTTAGATTCCTAGCGACTTCTATGAAAAGTGGAAGATAATGTTAAAACGCTATTTTAGTTTATTCTAGGGAACATATCCTCGAATTATACAATTAACTTCATTTTTATAACCAATTCAATAAATGTCCATAAAATGAAATTGTTTCCCATAAAAAATATGTCCGCGCTATAACCGCGTTATGTGATAAATTATATTTTAATACAATATCGTTAATTTTACGGAGACGGCATAAAATTTTTATGAAGACTCGGGAACAATTCTGTTTACGAATGTTTTAAAATTGTCATGGAATTATTAAAACTATTATTAGGTATTTGTTGAAGCAAAAATTCGGGTAAAATATTTTCAATGGACAAAAATGTTACCTAAGTATTTTTCGATACGTATACTCTAGTTTAGTCAATTAGTTTATGCATCATTTGAGCATGTCGCATGCGCATTAACAACAAAATATAATTATGAAAATTCGCGTAAAAAGCAATCGCAAATAGCAGCGCTACTACATTACGTATGTAGTGATGAGGTGATTCTGGCTTTAACTAAATACCTCTTGATACTTTACCGTCTCCACTGTTTTCTGTAGACTCTGTCATATAGAGTTTCACCGTTTACTGTTGTCTTTTATATTGAAACGAGCCAAATGAAAAGTATTTGTAAAGTGAAAGTAAAAGTGCTCACCGTTGTATAGTAGCGTGGGCTCGGGATCGCGGGGCGAAGGTCCCGGCGCGGTAGCAGCGGGCGCGGGGCTGCGGCCGCGCCCCTCACCGACCACGTCGATCTCCTCGTCGGAGTCGTCGGCCAGCTCAGTCGTCGGAGCCACCTTCCACTTCTTGGCCATGAGGCAGCGAGGCATGGCGGCGCCCGCATCGGCCTCAGCGCGGCCGCATCAGCGAGAAACAGACGAACAGAGAAAAAGAGAGAAAAGAGAAAGAGCGGCGCCCCGGGCGAGCGGCGTTGCGGGCGATCGCGCGCGTCCTCTTGCGTTGTGGCGCTCTGTCCGTCGACACTCGGTATATATTGGAGGCGGGGTGGTGCGCGCGCTGCCACTTCGATCGATGGGCGGCGGGTGCTCCACGCCGCACAAACTTTGCCTGCCAACTTGGAGCGATACTTACGAAGCTGGTGCGGGCTGGAGCGACGAACCGCGACCTAACTTGCTACTTGCAATCAACCAGTGGAAATACTGCCGACCTTACGAGTCACGCACGCTACGGCTCTCTGTTTATAATTGACGGCCACCAACACGTAGGCTTGTAATTAGTTTCCTTTGAGAATGTTTTGTTGATAATAAAGTTTATTTTATAGTAAAACAAGATGTATTAAATAACTATAAAAAATATATTGATTCGAATTAACTTGTTACTGTTGAAATCTCGATAATAAGTATTTTATACAATCAATACATCAGCAGTATGAAATGTGATCTTTACCATTACGGTTTGCAGTGATGGCCACCCTCCGTTCTATGAGTCGCAAATTATATTTGTATTTGCCGATTGCACATTGCACAGCCTACGGCGAAGGCACGCATTCAATTAATGATTCCAATTAGCTTTGAGATTTAAATTTCATGTAAATCTGATACACTATTCGCTTTTTTAGCAATTTACAAAATAAAATGTACAGGGCTTAAATTTCATGTTTCCAAATTAAGGGAGGCATGTGATGCAAAAGTAGCTTTCTTTTTTATGGCCCCTTAGTGAACCGTAAAGATACAGCGTCAGATGTACCTTGAATAGAACTGAATGCTTTCCATTTAAACTCACTCTCCTAACAAATAATGTACAAGTTTTCTTGTCTGCTTCTCTTGTTACAATTTATTTACTTTAGATTTTTTTGTAACTTAAACATTAAGTCCCTACGTGAATGGTCCCGGTTTACATCTAAAAATGGACGGAACTCAAACTTTAAAATACGCCCACTATTTATTTACAATTCATCGGTCTGAAACATCTTAAGAAATTAACTTTGGAAGAGACAGTTTAAAATCCGGGACCATCCTATTCACTATTGTGTTAGTTAGAAACTTCAAAAGTTTTAAAGAAATAGTTTGTTATATATTACTATCACCAGTTAATATTTTCTCGTTAATAATACTAGTAAACAAGTATAATTAAGACTTTAGGATAAAAAATGAAAAATACAAGTCAATAAAAAAGGGCGTTTGTTTAGAAGACTTCACTTTACTATCGTTTTAATTTGTTTGGGTTCGATTCTTACAGGAGCTGTTATACATTTGATAGTCATTTTGCATGTTCGATAACAACCACAAAACTATTTGAAAGCGAACAATCTGGGATGCGTAATTACTTTTTATCTCCCCATCACAAAGCATCACAATTCGCTCGCGAAAACATGGTTATGTCCTTTAAAATCATTTTTATTACAATCAATAAAAGAATAATATTTTTATTAACAGTTAACAGTGCCTGTTACTGTACTATTTTGTTTTTCATTGTACATAAACGTATGTCATTTTATATGTCTGGAAATATTTGGCCGTTTTCCTATTACTCGTCAATGAAAACTAATTAATTATTATTACTTACCTTTATTATTAGAAATTATTAGAAAAAAAAACAAAAACAATCTTAAGTTGATTTTTTGTGACTTTTAAAAGACTGTTCTGTTTAATACTACTTCCTGTGGTGTAAGGCACGTAAAAATTTTGTTTTTGTGCTACTTTTCAATAAACTTAAAATTTTACTAATTTATGTTATAAACTAATTACCTATACATGATATATTTTTCAACATACTAGGGTTCTACCGACAAAAAAATCAAAAGGTTTTATAAATGATAGACCATTCAGATGACTACGTTTTATTAAATGATGTTTCTCTAATTAGCGTTTATTGAGTTAAGCGAAAGACTATACAAACATTTTGGTATCTTGACTAGGTTTACAATTTAAAACCAAAACAACTTAAGTACATGATCCAAATTACACTACCTCTTGTATCCAGAACATTTTACATTAATTGATGGTACGTTTGTTTAAAGTTATGATTACAAGGTTTTATTACGAAGATAACTTCAAACATCTAATTCTAAACATATTTGTAGTTTATAGAAAATTCCTATAACGCACAATAAGCCTTATTGATTCAAAATTACAGTAGAAGCATTTCACATACACATGTACATAGATGTTAAAGATATTTTGAGGTTCACCGGAGGCTTTGAACCGTTTTGTTGTTGAACCGCTCGCCTCCAGCGATAAACTTATATAACTACAGAAAAGCACAAACTCGTCTGCAGACGAAATGATGTGCTTTGATCGCTAAATGCATTCTGCATAACGTCCTTGTTGCAGGGCTTTTTAATCTCCACTTTTCACGTTTATGCACTTAATACTATGAGAACGCTTGCTTGTACTACATTTGCATATCTTATATGTTGCTCGTGTAGACATATTGACGTCATTAACATCTTATATCTAAGTATATGTGACATAGGTATGACTAGTTAATGTACTTACATATCTATACTAAGTACTATAAACGTGTAAATAATATTAAACATAGCTTAAATCTAACAGGTTTACATTACATGATTACCTGAAACATTATAACATCTAGAGCAAAGACGAAAAACGTTATCGTTGTACAACGGTATTTTTTTTTAAATTTATAATTACTTATAATACGTCACTATTAAATAGCCTGATAACTTTGGATATACGTTCAAATTTATTGTATTTAAGAGACTGAAAAGTTACATTTACCTTACATTACTCACAAGGTGATTCCTTGTTTTAAGTTTCTATATAATTGTTAATTAATTATTATTAAAGATCAATGTCGTTGTATTTCACCTGCTAGTATCCGCTGTAAAGACAAACGGTAACTATAACTATTAATAAATATATTTAAAAATACTTGTATGATGTATTGGAATTCGCAAAAATTCGTTGTAAATGTGTGCAATGTAAAACGGTCTCATAATTTAATTATTATTTATAATGATCAATCTTTGGTGACTTTGTTTTTGTTGCCATTTTTTTCCAGAATAAGAATAAACAAATAAGTGCTGTTTCAACAGTTGCGCTCGTTTTACTTAAATTTAAACAATATCATCAAAAAAATATACGCAAAATATGTACATAAGATGTTGCAAATGGTAACATCCATGATTCTATGCCAAGCTTATAAATAATGGTACAGAAAGTATATACTCAATCGTCTACTTGCTAATTTGCATTACACAGGTTGCTTTTATATAAAGCTTAGAAGCTTAGCATTAGTATAGCGAAAAAAAGCGAATGTAAAATAATGATAACAGAAAGACTATCTTTTAATAAATTACAATTATTCTTAAAAACTATATTCTTAAAGATTCTAACCTTAAATACTATATCGAGTATATAAATTACTAAACGCCCTTATCTACTATCGAAAACAATATTCTTTTGTAAACATCAAATCTATGAATATTGAGTAAAGTGAGATTGTTCCAAACAACGTATTGCTTTGGTTAACCTTAGAATTATTATTTTTTACACTTATATATTCATTGTACAATGATACCCCGGAGATAGAATTTAAATTATTTTTTAATACTCGCAATACATAGAAATTTGCAACTTGACAGTAACAATTTAGCAATACGTGTGTGACACTTAAAAGGAAAACTTATAGTTAATGTGTCAAGTAATTAAAACATAAATTGTTTTATATCTGTCTTTGGTTAATGCTAAACATGGTTATTAGTTATTTATAATAAACATTAAATATTCAGACGGTTTAATAGTTATTCATTTATAATGTGGAATGTTTTAATGAGTACAATCATAGGTATCGAACATTAATGAATAAAGGATATATCCTATACATACCAATTAAAAAGGAATTTATCGTAGAATGTAATAATATACAATAGAGAGAATCCTTACACCAGTCTTTTGACGTCTCTGTCGCCGGCAAATACAATGTTCCAACCTTTGAATCAAAACTACTTCTGAAAAAGTAGGAGACGTAATTTCTCTACCAACAGTATTAAACGTTTTAATTAAAATTCCTCGAATCACACTTCCATTTTATGTATAAATGCCAATAAAGAAAATGTTATGCTTAAGATTTTAATTTTGTAATTGACAGTAATAATTTATAACGAAGAGTGATAAACTCGTATCAAGCGACTTCACAAATAGGCCGAGTGACTATACGCCGGTGAATCCTGTTGAACTGTGGTAAACTCGCCTTGTTTATTCCTGAACATAACCTTCCATATCTCGACTTATTTTTTACCAACAACACAGCTATCAGTCTTTTCAAGCTTCGTTCCGAAACTGCACATTTATCTTACAATTATATCTTGTCTTTAACATTTAATTAACTGTTTTTAAATTGACATCATTCGAAACTTATAATTTAGGCAACACTAAATTTAAACAATTTATAAATTACTACTCTAAAGTACTTAAGTAAAATTATTATAAAATATGTTATCCCAGAATTGACAAAGAGTAAGAAAATTGACTGATGTTAATAACAAAAAATTTGTATACGATGCCTAACTTTATCTTTAAAGAAAAAACATAACATATATAAGTAAAACATTTCCTTAAAATATAGAAAAAAAAACTTAAAAAATCACATCATCAAAAAATAATAGTTTAATTAATAAAAGTTAAAAGTATCTTCAACAAATACTAATCAGTTCCTTTTAGTTTGATTCTATAAAAAAATTACGTTACTAAGCCTCTGTATCTCTGTTACTCATTCCTTTATAATATTAAATAAGCTTAAAATATATATTTTGAATCTTAAAAATAATATAATGGCAAATAACACATCACGCTTGTTTTCCACTAGTATTTGGTAATCATTTCATATCTTTCAGCATTTCTATCTCATGTACTTATTTTTCTACATGAGAAGCATCTTGGATCTCATGTTAGAGCTTTGACTTAAAATTTAGTATAATTTGATATGTGCCTAAAATATTACCAGAAAAATAATTAACTTATAAACTTGCTTAGGCCTTGACAAGACATATAGATATCCGTCTATAATTATTTACCTTCATACATCGATAAAATTTTAGAGACACTTTTGAAAAATGTTTTCTGTTTTTCATATATATTTTCGACGTCTGCAGTTTTTTACATCAAAACTAGGTTGCATTAAATTAATTTTACTCTTTTTCTTTCATACATAACGGAAAATCATTTTTTTATTTTCATGTCCTTTCATTTTTTATGTTAATAAAGTGACATTTTTTGAAATTTAAATCATTCTTTGTTATATTTACGTTTTTATGTTTTTGTTTTATATGATAACTGAAGACATTTTAATATTGTTAAAATATAGACTAACTATCCACATAGAAAACGTATTTCAATTTTTTTTTAGGTATTAACTAGATCGAATTCACTTAATATCCAAATTTTTACTCTGAACTTGAGTAAAATAACTGCAAGTACACAATTTAAGTTTTGGTAATATTGGCATCAGCTTATGTTAAATTATTACGCGATTCCCTTCCCTTCTCTCTGATTTCTTGTTTTCAAAAGTTAAAAAGGTGAAGTAAACTACGTAAAGCCTTACGATTTCTTCGTTCCTTTCTTTTAAACAAAAACCAATAAGAACTATTGAATTCATGACTGCTATCTTAATATTAACATTTTAATTATTCCAAATACTGACTAGACACTCTTAGCTTGTTGCTATAAAAATATATTTTCAAAATTGCACTTTATTGTGACTATCTCCAAAAAATTATTCAAGTAATAACGTGTTATAACTATTCTTACCTATATCCAATTTTCATAATTTCAAATGACTTTTGTAAACTTATTCTATTATGGACTACAATCTATTTGCTTAATTTTTATAACCAAGCAAGACAAATAATCTCAAAGAACTACATATTTTATGATTTTTAGTTGAACCCAAAAGAGATCTCTGTTTTCCTTTGGTATAAAACAAACTAGAAGTTATTATTTTATTTTGTACAATAATATATTGACGTCGTTGTGTCAATATATGTAAAATGTAAGTAATATATTACAGTATATTCTTGTAATTGGCATGTTAAAATAATCGCATGACGAAAGGTGGTAGCCGCAGGTGACAGTGATCCAATATATGATTAATAGCGAGATAGTGGCAAAAGTGGCAACAATTTGGTCCTTCCACAGCGGGTCGCTAATTACTACACATTGCACGCTACTCGTGCGCCTACCCTTTTCTTTTATTCACATTACTTTATTGCTCTCTTTGTACCACAGCTCGACGGTTTCATTAAGTCTCTACGTATCACTGTATCTACTACCTAATCGTCACATGAACGCTCCTGGCGCCATGTAACAGTACAATAATTAAATTACTACGTATAATTAATTACAATACCTTTAAAACATAGCGGGCTCCTGTCATAAATTGACATAATTAAATCCGTCGAAGCCGACTAATGTATTATTGACAAAAATACATTATAAATTATTATTAGAAAGAGCCATATAATTATTAGGTACACAATTATTGCTTATCATGTTTCTTACGCCGCCGCCGACGGAGTAATCAATTCTTACCAATATTTTATGGATTCAATATACAGATGTAGAGAAGTTTATAGAGAAGATTTTCGTTGCAATATTTCTCAGCTCTGATATTTTTATTCTGCGAACACAGGCACCAGACTCATTGTATCGTATCGTATAATTTCTGGCTCGGGCAAAACGCAAGACGGATCAAAACGTATCACTGCTGGTTGCGGAGGATCTTCAAATTCCAGAGCCAGTGGTTCCAAACCAGATCGTATACCGATGGGGCGTAGAGGCTCATACCGTCTGACTGCTGTTTCAGCCTGGATATCTTCAGTCTGAGAATCAGTATACATAGTTTGATCACTAATCTCTTTATTCTCAAGCTGAATACAATCTGAGTCTGTTCGAACTTCACCTTCAAGCGGGGCCTGAAGGCAGGGAGAGTTTTGCTGGTTAGAGTTCTCAGCCTGTTCAAATCCCACAGAGGGAGTATTCGGCTGATCTAACGGCTTGTCAGACTGTACACCCGATGTTTCAGGTATTGCAGGTCGAATTAACTCCGGATCACAAGCAATCTCATCTCGAAAGCACACCGTTTCCTCATGCTTGGCCAAGTAACTTTTTAAAGCAAAAGTTTTCTTGCACTTTGAGCATTCAAATTTTTTGTCACCTGTGTGAGTCTGCAGATGTGCACGTAAATTTGAGCGGTCCGCAAACGCCTTAGGGCATCCTTCGTATGGACAGTCATAAGGTTTTTCTCCCGTGTGGGAACGTAAGTGACCACGCAATAGCCAGGGTCTGGAAAATTGTTTACCACATATACCGCAAACGTGGCCCATTCTATGAGTCAGAACGTGCATCGCAAGTGCAGGCATTGACACATATACTTTGCCACAATCCTCGCAGCGTTTCGCTGCTACTGAATCAAGGCTGCGATGTGTTTGCTTATGGCGTGACAGATTTGAGGATGTAGCGTACCGCTTTCCACATTCTTTACAATCATATTTAGCATTTTTCCCTCTTGGAGCATTAATTGGTTTGATTTTTGGACGTTCGGGCTCCATTAAGCAAGGGAGCCTGCTTGGTGGTTCCACTACATCAGTGACTCGACTTGGTTCGGGTCGATTATTATTAGGTATTACTTCTGCTGCAGGGACCAATATATGACCGACTGGCATGACCGTTTCCGGTACATGCTGATAAGCAAGATAGCTTAATTGAGGTTCGATTGTATATTCGATGCCACAAGGGATCGGTGTTATTGTTGGCACTGAGTTATTATATGAGGGGTCACGTGACTCTTCAGCTATTATGTAGATATTAGTGGGATGTATGGTATAGGTGTAAATTGGGACGACAGGTTCATTAGGTGGTAGCACGGAGACGAGAGGAACAGATGGCAGTGCTGACAGCGATGATAACGGTGGTATCGAAGGCAGTGACGGAAGAGACGGCAGCGGGGGCAGCTGCGGCAGCTGTGGCAGAGACGGCAGCGGTGGGAACTGCGGCAACGCCGGCACTGGTGTTACTGGTGGTAAGGGTGGGACAGGCGGCACGGGCGGCAGGGGTGGCAAGCTGTGCGCGAGAGACAATAATTCATGAGCTGCCTCTGTCTCTTCAGCAGTTCGTTCAGTAATGGGTGTGCTTCCTATCTCCTCGTAGTTGACTGCCGGTGATTCTGGTTCTGTAACAAGAAATCATACAATGTAAAAATTAAAATAATTTTTATTTTCATTTATCAGATAAAGTAGTTGAAATAAATAAAATTTCAGCTTGTCATATAGTGAGTTAAGCAAATTTATGTCTAGAAATTCAGCATGCCATGTGAATGTGTCACGAAAACAATTTGTAATTTCACAAAGGAAATATTCTAAAACTTTTTTAATGTATCCTTTTAAAGTAATGTTGTTTATATAATTATTATCAAGTGTTTCAGATTATTAAATTGTTAACATTATTACAAATAATTATATTAACTTGTAAAGCTTAATTTCCATGAGTGTTTAACATGAACACACAAAATGATCCAAAGAATCATTATATTACTGGTAAAGTATACTTCAATTCTGAAAAGATGGAATAGGGAGTAAGCAAAACAAGACGTGACATAAATTTAACCGTGAAGTCAACTTAAAAATGAGTCTCTGAGGCTTAACAATCTGTATAAAAGTATGACAGACATCGTACGCTCCCACATTAATGATTAAATATAAAAAAAATCAAAATCCATGTATAACCGGAGCAACGTATAAATTATGTAATATTTTTTAAGCCTTCATTATTAAAATAAATATTTAAATCTCTGAAATATTAATAACTATATCTTTTAAGCCTATAATATACCAATATACATATTATAACTTGATTATTTTGTGATTAAATATAGCTATTTATTTTAAATTATTTGTACATACATGTTTAAAACTCTGTCGTTCAATTTAAATTACACGATACGGTACACACAAGCGGGCAAGCTTTCACTTCAATAAGTTGCAATTATCTCATATGGTGGGACGTCCGTTAATTTTAATATAAATCGTGATCTGTTGAACATTAATAGAGGTATGAGTATTCCCCTGCAACAGAATCGTCTATCTTTTCCATTAATTGCCTGTCCAAGGTGTGTATGGATGTTCTGATTCAAGAGTACATTTAACCATTACTACATTTTCTACAGTTTTACTTATGTTATGAAGTGTACTTCTAAACTGTAATTCATATAAATGAACATCATTCAGTATCACTTTGACTTCACATTATATTACTTATTTCTTCTTCTTCTAACCGGTAATTTCCCAGCTTTAGGCAGGGTCTGCCTTACATCTTGTAAATAGTTTTGGCTAATCGATTTTACGACCGGCCGCCTGCCTGTCATCAACCCTCTTTTGGGAAAGCATTAATCAGTGATGTCTAAATACTCTTAGAAAGTACATATAACTCGGAAAAATCACATTGGTACTTGCCAGGATCGAACCCGCGCCCTCATGCATGAGAGGCGGGCCTCTTAACCACTAGGCCACCACTGACTCTCACTTTGACTTCACACATCATCTCTTACTAACGAATATTTACGTCAAGCAAATATCAATCAAAACTAAACGGAATGTGACAAAGAATACAAAATTATTTCCTATATTATTTATACTTAATGTATATTTTTTTTTAAATATATTATTCATTTCTTCATAGATAGATATTTATTTACAAAATAGTATGATGTATCGTAATTCCGTTGAAGGAGCATGGTTTCAGAAAGTATATCTGATTCGTTGAACTGAAGAATTGCTATATAAAGCATGTCAATGGAATAAAATATTCTGTATAAAATATTATATTACATCGAATATTTATCGTATTTATGAAAATGTAAAGTCGTGAAAATGTTACGGACATATCAAATTTAAATCTGTATAACGCTGAAACATTTTGTTCACCGGTTTAATACACGTTTCATAATAATGACAACATGTTATTTGACACGACAAAAAATATATAAAATGAAATTCAGTATTTCATAATATTATGTGAACTTTACAGGTTCAGAATTTAACAAAGCCTTTGATACAACTATGTTAAATACAAGAAAAAACAATATATATTTGCAGTTTATATACATACTAACGTCAAATATTTAAAAGTAAATGAACTTGACCAATAGGTAGTAAACAATCATAGTAAGTTTCCAAAACAAAAAATTTTAAATTATTTATTAAGGTCTGGTGCCCAGTATTTAATAGAAATAAGAATTAGATCACTTTATATTCAATAAAACTTACAGCCAACTATACGACGTGAGTGTATTAAATAATACATATTTTTTGTTTAAACATCCTAGAATCGGTTTATATGCATAAATACATTTATTTACTGCACATAAATAAATCCATCTTCATTTGCTACGGCGAACGTATGAAGATATGTACAATCGATGTAGCCAATGGCTGGGATGTCTACGGACGTAGCCATTGGCTACGACGTCTACGACGTAGCCACATAATCTTTGAGAGTATTAAATCCTATAAATTTCACAAGTAGTCTGCGTGTAATATTTGAAACATTGATTATTATAATTAAACAATAATTAATTATTCCATAAAAATTTATAAACAATCATTTCATATAACTCATTCAATTAAAAACTAACTTTCCTTTTGTACCGACTAATATTCTGTTTCGTTGCTTCTTAAAATAAAAACTTAACAAAGTATAATTTAAAACTGTATTCTAATATTCATTTTAGTATTTAAAACACATGTATCAATGTCTGATAATTAAATAATATTTTTCGCAAAAGCATATATGAATTAGACAATACTGTTCTTCTGATATTTCATAAATGCAATAATAATATAAAATGAAAATATTTTACTAACATTTTGCATGTAAAATTCTGAATGTGTATTTATTTTAAATGTATGGCGTAACATTTTCGGTAGAGTTTATGCAAGACGAAATGGACTATTGAGAGCTTTGCATCGGAGGCTGCTTTATTGTTTTAACTGTAGAGGATTCTGTTTTTAGTTTCGTTTTAAAATCAATGTAAAATTTCAGATAATATTCAATTAAATAGTTTTAAATTCAGAAATCTTTTACAAATGTAACTTTATATGACATAAATCAATAATGTTTTAAATAATTTCAATCTATACATAAATGCTTTATTATTAAATGCCACCCCTCCTTTCCTCTTCAACCACACCACAAACCAAAGTTCTAAGACGGATTCATTATCTATTCCGAACTGTATTGTCTCCGTTTATACTAAAGTAACACAAATTTAATCATTCAAAAATAGTTTATCATTCGAAAACAAATATAAACAAAATATATTCTAATTAATGAACGGATTTAATAAAACTATATATACAAAGCTATTATTTAATTTTTAAATTAAGCATATCGTTATTATTTATAGTATACTTGACTTTGCAATCAATTTAGTTTTCTTTAGACAGTGAGTGACTTTATAATCTAAATCTAAGGAAGAGTATTAAGATGAACTAATCAACAGTCTGATACAAAGAAGCTCGTTTTTCTTATACGATCAAGCACAGACATCTTCTCATAATGATATTTTATCATAAACCCTTACACACACAAAATTAACTATCGAAAATATTTTGTTTAAATTTTATTCCCAAGTGAATAATTACTTGACACGTTTATATAATGATAATATTAAATTTCGTCCAGATTTTATAAATTGTTTTAAAATGTTAAATTTTGTTGATGACATAAATAACTTAATTTTCGTGTCATATTAATGCAATATTTTAAAGTCTGCATATGTTTATATGAAACTGTACATTGTACAAGCGACACACGCTCGTAACGAACTTAGAACAAAGAATTACAACTGTATGGTGAAGTGTGTTGTGCCGAAAATGAATTACACTGAGTATTTTAAACCGATTTTCTCAGACGGAAATATATCCAAGTAACTAAAGTGGGTTGTTGAAATGAAAAGAGTTTTTAAGACTTTCTTGTTATTATTCATCTAAGAAGTTTAAGTATGTATTCAAGTAAGCGTTTAGATTATTTGTGACGTATAAAATTACGAGATACCGAATTTTAATATCGAACAGTATTTTTTTTATAATAAATATGTATTACGTATGTTTTTATTTTTGTTATAGAAGCAGAATTTAAATATATATTTTTTTATATAAAAGCGATTATAAACGAAATACTGCTGGAAATTTACAAATATATGAATAGAGAACGGTCACGAAATATGATTCTCTTCAACGTCCGAATATCAGGTTCATACGATGCAACCATGTGTTAAGTGTGCCCGTTAAAGGCTGTTAGTCAGTGCATCTGAATTTCTCTTCAATTTTATCATATTCGTTCCTTATATTTATACTACATGAAACAGAAGCTATATTATAAATTATTTAATATTAAAATAGGTTAAAGTTTAACAAGCGTTATGAAAAAAAAATATCAAAATCACCTAAATATTTACATATGTAAAGACTAATAATAATTCAATCTCAATATACTCGTAAATAGGAAACTTATGCGACGAATAATTTCAAAAGGACTTTCTGTTGTCTTGGTAATAAACAATATTAAATATTATACACTAACTAATAATATTAAATTAATTATGTACTGTAGTATATAGGACAATACTTTATAATGATACTTTATACATTTGTCAAAGGATAGACGAATTAGAGCACTTCAGATGGATATTGCCTATCGCGGTAGTCAGACACCCCGAACAGGTTTAGAGCCGGCATTGTGATAGGTTTAGGAAACTGAATGAGAAATGGGATAAGAAAATTGAGGAAACGGATTATTACAGCTTCCAACTTTCAAAGTAATCGAACGAAATTCAGAGGTAGGGTGCTAGCTGGCCCCACGAGCAAATTTAGCTAAATTAAAACTATAACTTTAAAATATGATAGTTTAGTAAAATTTTGTGAAAATGTTTCGATTTTAACTATAATTATCTAAGCTATTCATTAGCATTACTCATTATGATATCATTAAAGTATTCCAATTATTTCTCATAACTGTTTTTCAATCGTAATTAACTCTTACCCAATTCAGACTTCATGAACGTTAGTGTGTATTCGATTAAAACAACTTAACTGTATCTGAATATACATACGAATAAACAAACAAAATCTCATCATCAATAATATTGCTACAATTCCATTTACAATTTGTACT